TGTATTGTACTAAAGTTCAGGCCTAGTGCTTTGCATATAATACCATTACTAATATTTCTGTGTTTGAGTCCAATTTTTTTTCTCTATGTGTATCTTCTTTCTGTCTTGTCTGTCTATGCTCTTGTTATGCAATCATAATCGTTGCTCACATTTGGACTTCCTTCTAAATTGCATGCAGGTTTCTTAATTACTGCCAAGTTCTGTGATTGGTGGGGGAAGCAGTGATCTTGTCTGATAAATTCCCACTGTTGCCTCAGAGATTGTGCTCCCAGTTGAAACTGCTGTCCTACACCCCCAACCTGTGGCTCGAGTGGCAGAGCGGTAGTGTCACTACCCTTGAATAAGGCGGCCCAGGTTGAAGTTCCATCTGTTCCAGAGGTGTGTCTTAGATTGATTGACAGGTTGATTAGAAAATAGGTTTCAAAAAAATTGTGTTCATTAACACACGTTAGGTTTCGTTAAGAGTTCAGTCATTCCATGCAGTGAGTGCACACTGCTTCACTGAAGTTCCAAACTGTTTGGTTAAGCACAGAGACCACTGGAGAAACTCAGCAGGTCAGGCAGCATCTGCAGAGAGTGGAACAAAGTTAATGTTTTGAGTCTAGTAGTTTTGCAGAAGAGTCATGACTCAAAGCATTAACTCTGTTTCTTTCCCCACACATACTGCCAGACCTGCTGAATTTCTCTAGCATTCGCTTTTTATTTCTGATTTCCAGCATCTACAAGATTTTACCTTTATTGTTTGGTTGAGCACCTTGAAGGAACATGTCAGCTTATGCTTTTCATTTTTTTTATTGTCAAGAAAGTTGCCATCTTACAAATACACATTTGAATGCTGGATGTTTGAGGTTTTATTACCAATTTGTCCATAACTGATATTTTAAAACAAAATCCACTTTCCTTTCATTTTTACATAGCCTGAGTTTCATGACTGTTCAATATGTTGATCTAATCTGATCCAGCATAATGCCCAATTGGCAGCAGTTATCATGTTCATTTGGTACAGAGCTATTTTTGCAACTACTTTATTCAGCTGGCATTTTATTAATTCTCTCCACTCTGCTCACTAGTTACAGCTTCCCAGCCCCTTATAATTTCTCTTCCAGTAACTCTGATACTGCAGCATGCTTTTAACTGTTTGCCACAGATTGCACCATTATCTTCTTAGAGGAACAATTGAGAACAGGGTGCCCTCAGCAAAAGCTGTTTGTCAGCATAGTCACCATGATCATTCTGCAAATTTGCGCAAACATCGCAGCCTGCTTGTCCCATTCTTGTTTGCACCTATTTTCTTTTATTCTGATGACTGAGCTGATTTTGTGTCTTTGGTGCTGCGTGCACAAAATGGTGAATAGAGGATCAACTGAGATAAGAGAAGTTTGTCTCAATCCGAATGTTGGATTTTTGTCAGCTGCCACCGGGGTTTCTCATTTTACTCATGATCTGGTATGCCTTCTGAGTTGGTGCAGGTCTCCCTGTCAATTCGAGATAATATGAATTTCTGTTTGCTGTTAGACTGCTGATACTGTATTTTACTATATTGAGCAGCCTACCTGATAGCCAGCAAGGCTTCCCAACAGAGGGAGCAAGAGAACATGCTGTATTCACGAATACAGATCTCCTGAATGAGGCAATGCTGGTACTGGAACTCACACAAGCTGCCCTGAATTGAAACAGGCAACTGAGACATTACCAGAGCTCCCAAAATGTCTAGGCAATTTCAGGTCAAATTCTGTCTCCAACTGAGTTCATGACAGGTCAGTCTAAGGTCTGTGGCACACTATGAAACAGAATAGCAGTAATTTATAGATTTTGTTTCTGCAAAAATGCATGTTCAGATTGAAGGAGATGAACTCCACGCTTAATGCAGAAAGCAATGTAGGAACTGATCCTAAGAAGTTGCAGCAGGAAAGGGAAACTGAGAACCTAGCAATCGACCAAGCTGCATGCATCCAACGTGCTAAGCTAGTTCGCACCAAATCGGCAAGAAGGCTCGCAAACCACTGCTTGCAGCCTGCAGCTCACAACCAATCAGCAAACAAGCAAGCAAATGGATCACCTGCTGCCAGAGGATTAGCTATTTGCAGCCACTCACAGCCATTCCACTTCCAGTAGCCATTAACAAAATGGTGGACTTGGAGTCCCTGATTACGGGCACAGCACCAGAGAAGGTTAATTACTGTCATGCAAATAAAGGAGTAATTTTTTACATTATCTCGCAGATTGCATCGTACTCAGTTGATACAAATGTGTTTTGTAACACCAGGCACTAGATACTGGATGGATCTAATCATCTCTATGCCTCTAATATAATCAAATTTAAATAGAAAAGTATGGTTTCCGTTTTCAGTTTGTGACCTGACAGCTATGCTTCCTTCTATCACTGCAGCTGTGAGTTCTGTGTACGACAACTCCACGTTGACAGAAAGATTGAGCATGTGCTACTGCCTGAAATGTTAGAAGCAAAAAGTCAAGCCACAAATGCTGGAAATGCACATTGGGTCCATCGGCATCTGAAAGAGAAAGGTTAACCTTTTGAGTGTAACTCTTCGCCAGAGCAGGTTTTTTTTTTGTTTAGTGAATTTTGTACTTTTTAAAAGAGGTGGGAGTGATGTCGGGAGTTGGGGGTGGTTGTTGGGGAGCTGTTATTGCTGCCAGTGGAACATTTTCTATTTTGGATGCCTCATGTCATGGCAAACTCTCCCTAGCCATGTATAGTACAGGGTCATTCGAAAGCCAAGCTTTCTACGCTCTGCTTTAACAGCATATTTCAGCTACTAATTCTGAAAAGCACCCACGATTTGCAGTGAAATGACATTTTTTACCTCTCATACTCGCCATCAAGTCACCTCTTTGGGTGAGACAGACGATTAATGGTATCGTGCTATGGAGTTGTTCACATGAATCGCTTGTTCTGAGGAAATGAATTGAATTCAAATCCCCATTGTAAGGAAACTGAGCATTTCTCTGAACATTTGCGTCAAGAAATTGCATATCATAGAATCATAGCAGTCTACAGCACAGGAAAAAAAGCCCTGTAGTCCATCAAGCCTGCACCAGTCGAAAACAAGCAGGTGTAGCATAGTTTGATGCAGAGTAAAGCTTCTTCTACTCTGCACTGAAAATGTATGTCAGCTTCGTGCTGGACTTCTGGTGAGTGCAAGGTATGACATATTTTCGTTGACTATGCCAAACCATTCTTTCACTGAGGCTGCCAATTTAGTGCAGGATTAGGAGCAATTTAACTCTTTCCACAAGGAAGTGGCTGGAGTAAGACCCACATGTTCACTCCACATAGGATCCTTGCAGCCAGCAGACACGGCAGACTTTCACGTCATCAGGATGGGTACTGGAGGAAGCACTTGCTTATGAGTGGTTAACCTGCCAGCTTAGATTGTGGATTCTTGGAACAAAACCATCTAGTGTATATATGCTGAGCAATGATCTGCATCTACGTATCAACCACTGAAAGCTGGGTAACAGGAACTGAGGCAGCAATGGCACTTACAAAACGAAATTGTCATTTAGGATATAGCTGGACATCTCGGTTTCAATAATGCATGTAACTAAAGAGGTGAAACGGTGTGGATTTGCACCCGGTTCTGATGAAGGGTTACGTTAGGTTAGATTTTCTTTTTCATTCAGAAGCTGATCGGCCTGCTATGAACTTCCAGCATTTTATGTTTTAATCTGTGCGTGGATGTTCCTTTCATCATATGGTCAAACAGGCAGGAGTTGATTTGAATGGATAACAGGATTCGAGTTTCATAGAGAGCTGTTATAAACCAGGTAGTCACCTCTGCATTAGTCATCCGAATGATGCACATTCTTTGCCACTTGCAAGCCAGTCACATGTTCTGTTCTCTTCTATTAAGTTGCCATTACTCCTTTCACCAGCCCACACTGCTGCTGTGAAATCTGTGATTACAGCACTCTGCTAGTGATTGTCGTTGCGCTTTGCATTTTTATGTTGCTTCATCCGTTTTGCAAAGTGATCTTATTTATTTCTGTGTGCTATCCATTCCTAGCATGTCATGCACATGGAGTATTCCTTGGAACTTATAGACAACTAAGGCAGAAGTGGTGTGAGCAGTGGAGATCCTCTAAGAAGGCTTGGAGGCCTTGAGTTCTCACCTGCTGCCAAAAGGCAGGCTAGAGCAGTGTTTGGGATGGGGTCAAGTTTCGATTCTGGCAACTCCTTCGCTATTGAAAGATGGTCTAAATAATTCCCTCACATCATCTGAAACACAGAAGTGAGTGGAAATATTGGTTTATTCTTAAATTACTAGATTTTGCTTTTTGGGTACCATTTTTGGAGTTTTTCAAACTGCTCACTTAGAAACAGAACTCTAGTCCAGAAATTAGCCAATAACCCCATTGAAGTCAATATCAATCAATAAACTCCCTCTTCTTTAGCATCAGCTATGAAGCCACGATAATGCATGCTCACCCCAGGTCGGCCAGCCCATCAATCATATTGAGTCTTGCTGACTTGAAGCTACAAGTTTTTGTTTAGGATTGCAAGTATTTTTAATCTGCTCATTAAAATTGCCTGCATTTGTCCTGACACTGGGGGCATTAAATTAAAAGTTCAAATTTTCAATCCAATTTCTGATGAGATAACCCTGGCCTTAATCAGAAGTATCAGGGGTTGGCATCCTGGACATCTTAAAGGATCTCTGTCATGTAAGTGAAGGCTACGTTTCATACCATCTAGTTGGCAGTGTGTTCAGTATTAAGTAGCCCTATTGATTGAAATATAGAACTTAGGTAGAAACTGGAGAAAGGTATGATGAAGGTACCATGGAAATGAAACTCTGTGTGTTATGAACAAACTTTGTGGTTAAAAGTTGTGAAGCACTTAGAATAATTATGATTTCCTTAACTCCAATCTACAGTGTTCAGCATGATTATTATGGCCACTATTTTGACCAACTGTGTATTCATGACTTTTAGTAAACCCCCAGACTGGTCTAAGCAGGTGGAGTAAGTATCTCTTCTTTATTCCTCTTTTTAGAATGTTTGTTTTTGGTTAATTTAACTTTTCAAATGTGCTGTGCATGATCTGATGTTTGACGTTGTGTTGAGATGATCCCTGGGAAAGCAACGGAACCTTCTGGTTTATTTCACGAGTGAGGAAATGTTGAAAGAAACAACATTTGGCAAAGTGTGAAGTAAGTGAGCCTCACTTGTGGAATAAAATGGATGGCTCACCACTTCTGCCTGGTGTTTCCAGTTTATATAATAGATGTGAGAATAATATGTCCACTTTTTTTTAGAAAAATGTTTCTAATGGGGCTAGTTAGAAATGCAGCGGCTCAGTTTAATCAATGCCATCTGTATCATGCAAACTGGGCTCAACCCATTCTGGACATGATTTCTCTCCATCTTGGTCATTGAATCACTTCAGAATCAAATGTTGCTGCTTCCGCCTCTGAGTCAGAGAATGGAGGGTGCATGGTGGACTCCAGGCAGAAATGATCACATCTTTCATCACGCTCCCCCTGCCCCACCACCAACTGCTTTTGTCCCATCAGATTAATTCATGGTTCTATTAAAGCAACAGATCAACTACAAATTAAATTATGCGGGAGGGACAAGTAGTTCTAACTGGCATGCGATAAATACTGCATCACACTGGAGTTCAAATGGCCTCTTGTTCATATTTCTTGTTGTAGAAAAATAATGCCTGTTTTCCTCAGTTTGAATCCTGTAGTCTGACCGTGCTGTTAAGCAGGAACTGTATATATAGTAGTTAACAGTGACCTGTCATGGAGATCAAATATGACTAAAAGTATTACAAACTATTAAGAATATCTGGTAAAGAGTGAATTGAATTATTTAAAATAAGCCCTAAAATCCCATTCATCCTGAAAATGTGGACATTTGCTCTCATGTATTAGAGCAAATTATCACTCAGAATAGACTTCGAAGAACTAGGCTGAAGCATGATTTATGAACTGGGCTTTCTAAATTACTGTGTGTAACCATTTCTCAACAGTGACATACTGGCAACATGGAGTTGCAGTAACTTTTGCAATGCAAAGTTTCACAAATCCTTTAAGTAGAAATTTGGGGTTTCTCGAAACCTGGACAGCTTTGTTGGCCATTATAGTAACGAGGGATTAATTTTTGAGGACATGGACTATCAGTTTTGATGGAACCATTCTCGGAGACAGCAAATGAAACACGTTACCCTTGTGTGAGAAGCCATGTGAGTGACCATGCTGCTTTTCCTCCTAACACTCAGTTTGTTTAAAACTGTTAGAGAAATATTTGGTATTTATCTTCAAAACGTAGTGACCACTTCTCTCATGACCTGAAAGCAGAAAGTACCACCTGGTGCTCAACTGAACCATGCAGATAAGACCAGTAGCAGATTAGAAAATAAGAGCAGGAATAGGCCTTTCAGCCATTTGAGTCTGCTCTACCATTCAATATGATCATGGCTGTGATCATCCAACTCAGTCCCCTGTTACCAGTTTCTTCCCATTATCCTTTGATCCCTTTAGCTCTAAGAGCTATATCTAACTCCTTCCTGAAAACATTCAATGTTTGGCTTCAACCATGTTCTGTGACAGAGAATTCCACAGGCTCCCCTCTCTCTGGGTGAAGACATTTCTCCTCATCTCAGTCCTAATTGGCCGACCCCATTTCCTTAGACTGTGACCCCTGGTGGTGGACTCCATGGTTATCAGGAACATCCTTCCCGTGTTTACCCTGTCTAGTCCTGTTAGAATGTTACAGGTTTCCCCTTCATTCTTCCAAATTTTAGTGAATATAGTCCTAACTGATCCAGTCTCTCTTCATATGTCACTCCTGCCATCCCAGGAATCAGTCTGGTAAACCTTTGCTGCACTCCCTCCATCGCCAGAACATCCTTCCTGCATCTACCCTGTCTAATTCTGTTAGAATTTTACAGGTTGCTATGAGATTCCCCCTCATTCTTCTAAACTCCAGTGAATATAGACTTAACTAATCCAGTCTCCTCTTAAAACATCAGTCCTGCCATCCCAGGAATCAGTCTGATAAACCTTTGCTGCACTCCCTCCATCGCCAGAACATCTTTTCTCAGATAAGGAGACCAAAACTGCCCACAATACTCCAGGTTAGGTCTCACCAAGGCCCTCTACAATTGCAGCAAGACATCCCTGCTCCTGGACTCAAACCCTCTCACTATGAAGGCCAACAGACCATTTACCTGCTGTACCTGCAATGCTTACTTCCAGTTACTGGTGTACAAGGACACCTAGGTCTAATTGCACCTGTCCTTTTCCCAATCAGATAATAATCTGCCTTTCAGTTCTTGCTCGCAAAGTTGATAACCTCGCATTCATCCACATTATACTGTATCTGCCACGTATTTGCCCACCTGCTTAATTTGTCCAAATCACACTGAAGCATCTCTGCATCTTCCTTAGTTTGCCCTCCCACACAGCAATACCCTACTAGTCACTGACTGAACATAAGAACTAGGAGCAGGAGTAGGCCATCTGGCCCCTCGAGCCTGCCCCGCCATTTAATAAGATCATGGCTGATCTTTTTGAGACTCAGCTCCACTTACCCGCCCACTCACCATAACCCTTAATTCCTTTACTGTTCAAAAATTTATCTAGCTTTGCCTTAAAAACATTCAGCGAGGTAGCTTCAACTGCTTCACTGGGCAGGGAATTTCATAGATTCACAACCCTTTGGGTGAAGAAGTTCCTCCTGACCTCAGTCCTACATCTGCTTCCCTTTATTTTGAGGCGATGCCCCCAGTCCTAGTTTCCCTGCCTCCACCTTATCTATTCCCTTCATAATCTTATATGTTTCTATAAGATCTCCCCTCATTCTTCTGAATTCCAATGAGTATAATCCCAGTCTACTCAGTCTCTCCTCATAATCCAGCCCTCTCAACTCTGGAATCAACCGAGTGAATCTCCTCTGCACCCCCTCCAGTGCTAGTATATCTCTTCTCAAGTAAGGAGACCGAAACTGCACACAGTACTCCAGGTGTGGCCTCACCAGGACTCTATACAGCTGCAGCATAGCCTCTCTGTTTTTAAACTCCATCCCTCTAGCAATGACAGACAAAATTCCATTTGCCTTCTTAATTACCTGCTGCACCTGCAATCCTACTTTTAGCGATTCATGCACAAGGACACCCAAGTCCCTCTGCACAGCAGCATGCTACAATTTTTTACCATTTAAAACATAGTCCATTTTGCTGTTATTCCTACCAAAATGGATGACCTCACACTTATCAACATTGTACTCCTCTCAACTGCCTCTCGATAAATGATCCGTTTGTTCTTTCTTGGTTTTCTGTCTGCCAACCATTCTCTATCCATGTCAGTACACTACCCCCTATCCCATATGCTTTAATTTTGCTTCAATTTTTTTACGATGGACCTTATCGAGCGCCTTCTGAAAGTTCAAGTAAACCACATCCATTGATTCCCCCTTATCAACTCTACCAGTTACATCCTCAAAACAAAATTCCAGTAGATTTGTCAACATGATTTCCCTTTTGTAAATTCATGCTCACTCTGTCCGATCTTGTCACTGTTTTCCAGGTGCTGTGCTAATAAACCTTCTAAAAGGAACTCTAGTATTTTCCTTACTACCCTCGAGATTCCTCACACTGAGTTAGTTGATCTTAGCCAGACTGATGGGGCACTATGGATGCCTTGACTTGGAAGGGGTAAAAAATTGACCAATGTTCCCAGCCCTGAACAATATTTGGCAATCTCTGCTGGAATATGTATGCGTTTGTATTAACATGGGCATGTCACTCGTCATGCCAACTTATGGTAAAATAGTTTGAAGATGTATCTCATCTAGTTTATCCACGAAGAATAGCCATTCACACTGGAGATCGATCGGAGAATTTTTGGAGACTACCCCAGAACTGGTAGAGAGCAAGCAGAGAAGGATATCAAAATAATGTGCCTTAAGCTTCATAGGATGCTGCAGTTCCTGCTAGAGTAGGACAGGGAATAGTTACTGCCAGTAGAGATCATGATGTCCAGTGACAGCGTCAAGACTTTGAATTTGTTTTAATTGTCTATTCATTTGGAAATGGAGTTAACTTCTACACTGTAGTCAGCAGACCTCTTCCTGCCCTTGGTCTGAGCTGTGGTTTGTTTAAAATCTGCTGAAAAACTCCAGACATGAAGGACAGTGCTTTAGAAGATGTCCATTGCATATTTTCATGCTTCATTGTAGTACTGTTCATTTTATTTTCAAATTAGTTTCAAAATATTTCTTCAATAGAACCCAACCTAAAACAGCGAAATTCTGGTTGATGACTGGTGTGGCTGATATTCTCAGTGTTTCTGTTAGTAAAGGAATTTATACAGTAAGAGGCCATGTGGCCAGCCTCAAAGCTTAAATAAAAACACATATTTGGCAAGCCAGGCAGTTAACTTTCAGTCTTCATGTAACTAATGCTTCTCCATGGCAGTGCCTCCACCAATCAGAGTCCATTTGCCAACCAATTAGCACTCTCCTCTCATTCAGTATCAATGTTGTTTTCCCTTTATATTGGTATTTCTTGTGAATTGTCCTGAAGAATACAAAGAGTGCTTTAACAAAACATGTCTTTTTACAGCAATATTGAAAAACACTATCCCTTAATTGTTCTTTTACTTGAAAGAAAAGTGCTATCCACTTTCCTTTTCAATTTGCTGATACTATCTGGGTCTGCTATCTCACTGGGCAGTCTGATCCGTGCATTCATCACCCTTTGTGAATAAACATGGTTTTGTTTCTTCATTCACAGGTACACATTTACCGGCATTTATACATTTGAATCTCTTGTAAAAATGATTGCAAGAGGATTCTGCATAGATAGCTTTACATTTCTACGTGATCCATGGAATTGGTTGGATTTCAGTGTAATAATGATGGCGTAAGTAATTTTTCATCTCTACATTGTATAGTTTGTGATTCAGAGCATATTTATAATTTAATGACTGACACATCAGTAAAATTTGATGTTTGAACCTGCATGAAACGTTGGCATCTTCATTTAACATTCGATAAAGATAATTTATTCAAATTTATAATAAACCAATTGCTTTCAGTAACGTTACCAAACCTCCAAATGTTTAAGTCAGTGTAAGTTTCAAAGTTTGCTGTACCTCCAGTTTAAGGATTGCAGCTGATGATGAGTTGACTGATACAAAGTTTGCTGAAATGGCAGTTCCGATGCCTGCAAGGTTTCAGAGCAGACTTGTAGTAGCACTGATGCTAGCTCTATGTTATATGGATCTAATTTTACCCAGCAGGATTTCTATTGCATTGAACTCGACTTGGAGGCCTAGAGGAGATCATGAAGATGTAAAGGTTACAATGTTTAATGCAAATAATGAAAGATGTTTAGCAACCTGACCTGTTTAACCTACAAGGTGTGGTGATACTGACATTGATACAGGCACTTGTCAATCCATGAGTATTGTGATCTTGTAGATCTCAACAAGAAACATGTAATATCATTTGTTGTTATTTATCTCTTGATGTTTCTGTTCCTTTTTTGTTGTATTCATCTGGCTCAGCAAATTGATGCACTTGAATCACTGTTATTCAGATTGCTAAATACCTTTCAAAACAGAAAATGAGTTGTTGACACGCCTTGTTCAAGCATCTGACATTGCACAGATAATTGTCTAAGCAGTGCTTAAGTGAAAAGAATGACCACAATTATTAACCCTTTGAGTGCTAATCTGGAATATTGCACCATGCAGCATCTTTAACATGTCCTTTCTCCACAAGGATGATACTCTAGTTCACAAAGAACAGCTCATTTAGAACACAGCCAGTGTTTATCAGGGAGCAAGTAGCAGAATAATTGAAAGTGTAACGTCTCTTTTGAGGCAATGTCAAGTTGTTGCATCATCTTGCATTGCATAGGCTTTGTTTAGTTCAAGAACTATCCAGTTTCTGACTCCTGACTGATCTGTCAGCCTCTTGATAGCTGCTGTCAGAAAGGGCACTGTGCTGATGAACAGACAAATACATCACTGGAGAATCTTATCGGTGTGTGTAAACCTGCAGGTAGCACTTCACAGTCTTACAGATGTAGCAACTTGCAAATGCAGGTGAGGTGCAAAAACAGCAGACTGAATGGAAAAAAGTAACAAAGTTTGGCTGATGGTTTGAAGTGCAAACATCAGCACTGCTTTTGGGCGTCACTATTATTTGTACAGAATATTTTGGAATTTTCAACTCCTTTCTGTGCTAAAGAATATTAAAATAGCATTGAGAAGGAACAAATTTAACATAAAATGGAACTGCAAGGTATCTTGTTGTAGCATGTTACAACAGACTGGCATACTATATGACAACAGCAAATTAGTTTGCAAGAAATGATTTGACATTGTAGCCAAGTTAAGTGGTTGGAAGAGGTGATTGGAGGACAGATGTATGGAACAGGGAAGAGCCCAGCTTTTCTTCTGGAGCTTAGAGGGATACCTCTGCTCCACTTGGCCCACAAGGAGACCAAAAATAAATACAGTCTGGCTCCTGATTGCAATCGTGGAAGTTGTATATATAATGTTACATTGACAGTGCCCACTCTACTGATATCGCAGTGTCTGTGGGTTGAGACAAGGAATTCTATTCCAGCTTTTGGAAGGAGCAGATGTATTTGTATCAGCTCCCCTAGGTCCAGGTAATTATATCTAACCAAATACTGTTGTACCTATTGCTATCCTGCACGAGACCCTCTTGTTATCTGAGAGTTGTGCCTCTTCTGTAGGTATTCTATGTTTTTGTATCCTCTACCACTAATCACTAGCTCAAGACAAAGCAAACAAAAAGGATTGTTGGCAGTGAATTATTTAAAACAACCCTTACTCAGAAGCACATACTAATAAGAGGTGGCAAATACCACACAGTGCAGGAGATACCACATCTGACCCCATCACGATGCAAAGAAATTCTGAAAATCCAGAGAAAAGATTAAAATTTCAAGCATGCAAATTTATCACATTAAGAGCATTGCCACTCTTAAGAGTCAGTTAGCAACTGAAACACAATTACCTACATAGAAAGACACTAACAAGTAGGGAAGCAACAAAAAGGCCAATCCTCCACTTGAAAAGCAAAATTCCATTCAGAGGTTGGTAAGAAGTGCTGGGGCAAGGTGTAGACAAGGAAAAGAAAGGAAATCCAACCTCACTCACAAAATACAGAGGTCTTAGCAAAGATGGCTCTGTAAGGAGCGAGGAAGGCTCTAAGAGGTAAAGTTAGAGATTCCTAAGGGAAGGGGGAACAACTTTATAAAAAATGGTGCACAGACTGGAAAGAGAAGGCAAAAAAAAGGAAGTTAAAAAGAGTTCTCACCACTTGCATCAAGCATTGATGCCATTGCCATTAAGCTTCATGAGGTGCAGTTTCAAGGAACAGTGAAAGGGCCAGAAACTAAATTTAGACTAGGGCTACAGAGTCAGGAAGGTCTCAGAATTGATTTAAGCTGAAATCAAGCAAATTGAAGGAAATCTTGTGAAAGAGTCTAGCAGAAGAAGAAAGTTAAGAAAAATTAAAGATTTAACATGACTGGTACTAAGCAATAATTAAGTCATGATTTTGGAATGAAGATTTTAAAAGGCTGCAACTGGAGAACTTCATTTAAAAGTTTGCGTAGAAGTAGACGCTTGGATTTAGACTCTGAAAGGCAGGAAGTGGGATGTTTGGCTGCAGAATGCAGGAAAACCCTAGAAGAAATGAGAAGCCACCATTTTGATTAATAAAAAGATGGCAAAACTCAAGCAGTAGCAGGATACAGTATTACAAAAGAACAGATTTTAAAAAGCTTTAAAGCAAGCAACTTGTGACCGAACAACCAGTAATACAAGTTACAGCTTTATTCAAGAATTTAATACAGTTTTACAGAAGTACAGAGTTAAAAAGACTAGCAAATAAAGGAACTTTTGCAACATTTTTATGGTACAGAGTCTAGCAAGCTCTGCAGTTCAATTCAAAACAGTATTATGAATACAAGCTTAGAGAACAACAGATTTCAAGCAATTGAAATGATACAGATTGAAAATGTCTTTATAGTATTAAGGCTAATCAGCACATTGAGAAGAAATGGAACAATTATGAAATACTTCCAAGCAGATTCAAGGTCAGAGAAAGACTAAACCAAATATAAAATTGGACTTCATGGAGGTGACCATTTTTCGGATACAGCATTGCCTCAAAATCAAACACTCCGTGCAGAAGAAATGCACAACTACAAAGACACGGGAAGGGAGGAGGATACACATGCAAATACTTTTAATGTGATAAAGCAAGCTCCTTAAGAAAATTTCTGAAGAAGGGTCTAGATCCAAAACATCAGCTTTCCTGCTTCTCTGATGCTGCTGGGCCTGCTGTGTTCATCCAGCTCTACACCTTGTTATCTCAGATTCTGCAGCATCGGCAGTTCCCACTATCTCTCCTTAAGAAAAGATACTTAAGGCATTTATAGGGGAAATTAGTACTCTCAGTGATCCAGGTTGCATAGAACTTGTTTATGTCAGTGGATATCCAATTCAAATTTAATACCAGTCCCGAAGTCACTATCCTGTCAGACCAGTCACCATGGCTAAAGAAGCAAAAGCAACAACCTACAGCAATGAAACTATGTACAGTAGGTGGAATAACTGTTAAGAGTATAGGAATGCCAGAAGTTACACTACAACACAATGTACATGAATTGAAAAGATGTGCGTTGTTCTCAGTCAACTGACTTCACTTCTGAGCATGTGCACATGGCACAACTTCAACTTACTTAGCAGAGGAGTTTGATGACCTCCTGGAGAGGAATTGATCCAGAAACAAACTGTTGTTGACTAACTAGGGGAGGTGATGGCCTAGTGGTATTATCGCTGGACTGTTAATCCACAGATCTAGGTAATGACCTGAGTACAAATCCCACCATGGCAGATGATGGAATTTGAATTCAATAAAAATCTGGAATAAGAGTCCAGTGGTGACCATGAATCCATTGCTGATTGTTGGGAAAAACCCATCTGGATCACTAATGTCCTTTTGGGAAGAACTGCCATCCTTACCTGGTCTGGCCTACATGTGAATCCAGACCCACAGCAATGTGGTTGACCCTTAACCACCCTCTGGGCAATTAGGGATGGGCAATAATTGTTGGCCTAGCCTACATGCCCTTATCTTGTGTGTGAATAAATTTAAAAAAGAACTGGTCAAGCGGCAACCAGTAGAAAATTTCTTTGGGATTCCTAGATTCATGACAGCATCCAAAAAGTAGAGAGAATCTCTTGAGATTGCTTACAACAGCATGGGAGGAATGTTTCATATGGCTGAGAAGAAATGATGGCCAGCAAGCTGAGAGGTACAACCAAATTTGCCAAGGAGTGAAGAGTGTCCAACAGTCTCTGCTACCATGTGCTAGTGTTGTGTTGCAGGATGACCAGACCAGAAATCCAGCACATTAGCTGAAAGCACATACTTTAAGTGAGAGCACGTCAAGATTTTGGATGAGCTATGAGTGTATGACAAAAGACTAGCCATTCCAGCTTCCCTTTGGGAAGGTGCATCAGAAAGAATATACAATGTGGGGGTAATGGGGGGAGCACTTGTGCATTCCCAGGTGTACAAACAGTAAGTTGTGTGGTGGCCAGAGATCTCAGAAAAGGTTGAAGATCTCGTGTCTTGTTGTGCAGTCTGCAATTATATAGGATTGGCAATCTGGAAAACACTCTCGCCATTGCCAAGGGTCGAGCAAAAACAGACACTCAGCAAAACGGGCAAAGAAGCAAATACTGGCAATAAAAATGTGATCTACAAATTGAGGCAGATAAACTGCAACCTACCTCATCACAATCAGACTGGCATCAACAGATTTAAGGCACTAGTGAAGAAGAGGCAACTGTCTCGTCTAAACGTCCA